GTTGTGGGAGGCGGTGAGTGTGCCTCCACTGCCATCTCCCTCCCCCTCTCTAGAAGGTTCTTAAGGAACATGTGACTGCAGATGTGGGAGCGCCTGTGTGCATGTGTTGGGGGTGGGGTGCCTGGAGACACACGGAGAAAGTGGGGGCGGGGGCTGCGGGAAGGGCCTGTCGGGCTTGATCTTAGCGGGTTTGATTTTGACGTGATGCTGACTCTGGAAATGGATGGAGTGGGGGAGGGGGCCAGGAGGCAGGCGGCAGAGGGGAGCTTTCAAAGCTGTAGCCATGGGAAATGTTTTTCTTTTCTGCTTGAAAGAAATGCCAGAGAAAGTTTTTTTTTTGTTTTTTTTTAAAGGGAAGGAGGTGGTGAGAGAATGAGACTGTGTGTGTGTGTGTGTGTGTGAGAGACACACACACACACACACACACCCTGGAGCCTGTGGGTGTGGGACACTCCCTGGAGGCTGAGCTGAGATGCCCCACGGCCATGGGCAGCGGGGAGAGCAGAGGTGGAGGCTGGGCTTGCTCGCTGCCACCCACGCCTGGTGACCTTAAGGGGCCACCCACCCCGCAGGGACCCTCTGAGTGCGTCTGTGACGGGGGCACAGGGCGGGAGATTGTGTGCAAGTAGCAGAAAGGAATGCCCAGGGCTCGTGTGTCAGAACCAGAAGCCTGGGGGAGCCAGGAGGCGGGACTCCAGGTGCCCTGCGGGGGCTGGGGGGGTTGCCATCAGGTGGGGGAGCCCCCCCCTCCCAGTAGGCCTCCCGAGCTCCCAGCACAGCCCCTCGGGCCAGGAATGTGCCTGGGCAGCCTGACCTCATGTGGCCCCAGGCCAAATGGACTCCCACTGACCTCTGACCTGTCGCCTCCAGGGAGGCGCTGGGAGGAGGAGGATTGATGGGCTGGGCAGTAAAGGGGGTGCGGGGCGGAGGCTGCCTCTCTAAGCTGGTCTGGCTGGGCCGGGGCTCCCCATCGGCGTCCCCAGCCCCCACCCGACTCGCCGCCACCTCTCAGCTGTGAACACGCACCTCTGCCTGCACCGGCTTCTCACCTGTGAAGCTGCAGGCGGCGGCCACGGCAGAGGGCCCACCAAGCCGGCTCAGAAAGGGGGAGCTCACAAAGGGGGGGCTCGGGAGGGGTTGCTTCAGAGGGGGCCGTGTGCACAGAGGAATGCTCAGACATGAAAGGGGTGGGAGGGTCTGCAGGCAGGGCTGGGCCTGGGTCGGAGGGCCACGTGGGTCAGGGCGGTGGGAGGGAGGAGGCCCCTCTGGGGGCCAGGCTGGCGGTGGGATGTCTCCAGGATTCTCAGCTTGCACGGGCCTGCAGGGAGGGCTGGGGGGGGCAGTGCCCCAGCGGCAGCAGAGGCTGCCCCCCTCCCCGGGGCAGACTCCCCACCAGGCCAGCCCCTCCGCGCAGGCAGCCCTCCCCCCACACGTGCTGCCAGGCCCTCCATTAGTCACTCTGGCACGGACCGACATGAATCCCATTAGTCACACCCGCACAGACTTGCCCGCAGATCACACCCAGGGACACCCAGACAAAGGCGGGGCCCCCACAGGCCCTGTGCGCCCCTCTGCCTTCCCGAGAGCCTGGGACCCTGCAGGCACCCCACCCACCCTGGTCCGCCTCCCCCAAAGCAGCCAGTTCCCCCCACCAGCCCACCACCAGCGCTGAGGGCTCCCCAATAACCACAGCCCCAAAACCTCCCCTCCCTTGGGGCACACGGTGCGGACGCCCCCGGCGCCCTTGGCCACCCCCGCCTCTCCGTGCCCCTCCCCGGCCGCCCTCCGCGCTGGAGGAGCCCTCCCCAAGGTCAGCGGCGGGGCTGACGGCGGTTCACGGGAGGACCGCCAGCGCCCGGCCCCGGGGAGCGGCGGGGATTGAACCTGGGGCCGCGGCGGGGAAGGTGGCCGGCGGCCTCTCCTCCGGGCTCGGCACCCCGCCGGCCCCGGCCTCCCCCCAGTGCTGGGGTTCGGAGGAGCCGGGGCTCCTACCCCTTCCCCGGGCCCGGCGGCCCCACCCTCAGTCCTGGGCCACAGCCTGGGGGGACACAGGCTGGTTAAGCGTTTCGACTGCAAATGCCCCCTCTGGGCGCCCCGGACCGTCCGGGGGAAGGCTGCCTTCCCCACCCGCTGCCCTGGAATCCAGGAGCGATGGCGTTTCTCCAAATAACCAGCCAATAAATCCGGCACCGCGACCCTCCGTCCGGGGCCGGCCATATGCAGGCCGGCGGGCGCCCTTCCCTGCAAACAGGAGAGACAGCGCCGTGGAGGGAAGCCGGGCTGCGGGTGGGGAGCCAGATGGCCCCCGCCTCCAGGTGCGGGCCGGGGCGCAAACACCCTGCTGGGCCCGCAGCGCACCCGGCACACGGCACCGCATCCAGCACACCGCACCGCACCCGGCACACCGCACCGCAATCAACACCCTCCCGCACGCAGCGCTGGGCGGGTCCGGGGGTCTTGGGGGGCGCAGGCTGGGCTCCGAAGGCTGCTCAGGCCGGACCCCGTCCCTCCGGGCAGCGGTGGCCCCGCAGTCGGTCCCGGGCGCAGAGCCTCCGGAGGGGGACGTGCCGGCCGGCGGCGCGGGCTGGAGAGGCCCGGCTCCTCTTCGGCGAAAGGGGAGGCTCCTGCCGGGCCCCTCGCAGCCTGCGGGTTCCCGGCTGTGACCCGGGGCCCGGCCGGCGTTAGGAGGGTCCGCGGAGCCGCTCCGTCCTCCCGGGCCGGGCGGGAGCAGCGGGCGGGGAGGGAGCCGCGGCGCCGGGACCCGCCGGGCGGGCCTGGAGCTTCAGCCCCGGCTCTGCCCGCCGCCGCCTGGACCGGCCGGAGCCGAGCGGCTGGCGGGGCCGGAGGCCGGGCTGCCGGGCCGGTGAGCGTGGCTCCCCGCGGCCGCTCCGGGCTTTGGCGGCGCCCGGCCGGAGTGCTGGATGCGGGGCCTGGGCCTGGGCCCCGGGCCTAAAGCCGCCGCCGTCCTCCCGGCGCGGCCGAGGGAGCGCCCGGGGTCCTCGCCCAGGAAAGGGGCTGTTTCGGGCCCCGGGCGGGGGGAAGGACGCACGGCCGCCCGGCGCAGCGCGGCCCAAGGTTGGCCTGTCCTTCGGGCTGAAGACAAAGGCCGCTGGTCCGATGGCCGCCGCGGGTCGGGCCGCACAAAGGCTGGGCCCCGGCGCAGGCCTGGGGGCTCCGCGGGGCTGAGGTTTGGGGGGCCGGGCCCCCTCCGGCCGGTTCCGGCCCCGGCGGCGCAGGCACACGCGCGCCCCCGCCCCGCGGGCGCCGCCGGGCCGGAGGGGGACGAAGATGGCGCCCGGCCAGGCTCCGGTGTCGCGCGGGGACGGCCTCCCGGGCCGGCCAGGGGTGCCAGGCCCTGCGCGGCGGCGTCTGCGATGGCGCGGGAGGCCCGGGCCCCCGGCTGTCGGCGCCCTGAGATGCTCCCGCCGCTGCTCACGGCCCGGCCGCCGGTGCCGGGGGGGGGGGGGGGGGGTGCCCGCCGCAGCGCGGAGACGGCGGCCGGCGTCCGCCCCAGGCCCGCGCCGGAGCCGGGCGCGGGGCGCGGGGCGCGGGGCCGGCCCGGGCCCACGGCGGCGGGGCGAGGGCTGGGGCGGGGCCGCGGCCCTAAGGACACCAGCCCCGGCCGCACGCCGCCAGGCGCCCCGGAAGGCGAGCGCCATCGGGAAGCGGGCGAACGGCGGGGCCTTTACTGGCGGCGGGTGATTTACGGCTCAGGCCGCCCTCCCGGCATCCAGGGCGCACGCACGAAACCTTAAAAAAGCGGGTTTGTTCCGGCCCGCCCGCCGGCTCACGCTCCCCTCCCGCGCCGGGCTGAAGACCACATTCCAGGCCGGGGCGGGGCGGTGCGGAGGCCGGAGGCCCGGAGGGCGGGGCGGCTCGCAGGAACCCACACAGGCCCGGGAGGGGACGGGGCGCTGCTCGGCGCCCACCGGGGCGCGCCCCCGCCGGCCGCCAGCAGCCTCGCCAGCACAACTGCGTTTATTTTATTTTTGCAGCCGCCCCCCCCCCTTCCTCCAAGGAACACAGACACAATACCTCCTTTCTCTCCCCTCACCCTCCTCCGTCCTGCTCCCGGCTGCCCGGGCCGCCCCGGCCGCCGCCGAGCCCCGCGCCCCGCTCCGAGCGAGGACGCCGCCGCCCGCTCCCCTCGGACGGCTATTTTCGGCTTCGCTCCCTCTCCCCTCCCTCCGCCCGCGGAGCCGCCGCTTCCAAAGGGGGCGGCCTGGAAACCAGCGCCGCAGGCTGCGGGAGGGCAACTTGAAACCGTCCTCTGGAGGCCGAGCTTCCCCCCAATTTATTCTGGGATCAGACCAGGCGGCCCGTTAGCTCAGGAGGCTCACCCCTCTGGTTCCCTAAAAGCGGGCAAAAAAAAACAGAACCAATGGGCGCTGACTAGCTAATCCCCCCTCTCCCCAGAAAAGTCGCCTTAAATTTTCTTAAAAAAAAAAAAAAAAGGAACAAGCAATGCCAAACGCTGAGTCCGCAGTGCGGGCGGAGGGGGGGGGGAGGAAAGAGCGGGGTCCTCTTGTTTTAATTAAAATCCAATACAAAAATCCAACCACCGCGGTAGCTCTCCGGGGCTGAATCGGCCAGGATCCCGGCCCTTCCGAGCTTCCTATCCGGGTACGTCATGCCTGCCGCCCTGCCCGGCTGCGGGCGGTGCGGGTCCCTCCGGCGGCCGCGCTCCTCCCGCCGGCAGCCCAGGAGGTGGCCGCGGGCAGCTCCCGCGACCGAGACCAGAAAGGATTCTGCTGAAAGCGCAGAATAAAGTACAAAGTCTGGGGGATGGAGCCTCCCCTCCCCCAGGCCACCGCGGCCAGCCAAGCACTTTTTGGGCTTGGCTGCTGCTTCCTCTGAGCTCAACAGATTTTCCCCCCCGGTTCCCCCTCCCCGGAGGGGGCGCGGCGGATGGAAGGCGAGAGAGGCCCCGGCCAAGAGGGTTTTAATATTGCACTTTAATAGGTTTCAGAAGGCCCGTGGAGAAATGCTAATAGGCTGAAATGTCAGGATCGAGAGGGAGTCGGTTCGCGCTCAGCCGATCTAATCCTTTTTTCTGCTCTGATTTTTTTCGGGGGGAGGGAGGGAGGGAAAAGGTGGGGAGTGCCCTCGCCAAGAGAGGCTTTGGGGAGGGGCGCACCGTGCAAAGCACCGCAGCAGCCCCGTCTGGGGCCGTGGAGGGGGGGAGCGCCCCAACCCGCGTTTCTATAGGAACCCCTTTGAGAAGAGGAGACTCACCCGCCGCCGGCCGCCGAGGCCTCTCCAAAATATTAATCAGTGACCATCTGACACCGCGCTTCGGGGAGGGACCGCAGGCCCGGGCGAGGACGCCGGCCTGCTCGCCAGCCCGTCCTGCCTAACCGCGCTGCTGGGGGGCAGGGAATGAATCGCTGCTTTGTTTAAAAAAAGGGTGGGGGGAGGAGAAAGCAGCCCCGGAGTCTGTTTTGGCGTCGCCACCGCGCATTCTATCTAGAAGGCGCGTCCCCGGGGTGGTGGGGGACCCGAGCCCCGGCGCGGGGAGCAGGCAGCCTGCAGGGCCCGAGGCCCTTCCCGGTCCGCCCGGCTGGTCACCTCCTCCCACAAGCAGGAAGCTGACAGGCGGCCCATGAAGCCGCGCCTTGCAAAGCCCGGGATTGCGGCGACAACCATCTTCCTCTATTTTGATCGCTGAGCCCAGGCGCGGGGGGAGGAGGAGGGAAGGGGAGGAGGAGGGGGAGGAGGAGGAGGAGGAGGGGGAGGGGGCCGTCGGAGCTGGGGGAGGGGGGGGCCGCCTGGAAACGGCCCGGAAAAATTCTCACCACCAGTTCGGACCATTCAGCCCGCCGGGGGGGGCCTGGAAACCGCCGAGCCCCGGGTCCGCCGCGGGTTTTATAGGGATGGCCGCGGGCCAAGGTGTTTACATGCGCGTGACTGGCGGCGCGCGCGGCCAATGGGCGGCGGCGGGGCGGCCGGCGGGGCGGGCGCCCGGGAACAATGCGTGTTTCTTCCGAGCGGCGCTCCCTCCCCGCCCCGCCCCCGCCGGCTTTTTTTTTTTTTTTTTTTTTTTTTAGATCCAGCGAGAGGAACTTGCAAGGGGGGTTGTGTAATGTACCTTTTCCAATCCCGGGCTGTATATGGAGATTTGGGATTCTTTAGGCCGGCGCTACCTGGATTTTATTAAAAAGCGGGGCGCGCGGCGGGAGGGACGCTGGCTTTCCCGGGGCTGCGGGAGCCCGGCCGCGCGAGGGCGGAGGAGTTGGCGCGCCCAGGGCTCGGCCCGGGGAGCGGTTTTCGACCAGAAAAAGGAAAGGCGGGCAGAAAGTGCGAGCAGGCTGCGGGCGGCGCAGGGCCGCGGCCGCGGGATGGCGGGCAGCACGGGCGCCTAGCCGCGCCGGGAGCCGGGGCCGCCCGCCGAGTCGCCGTCGCCAGACCCCGGAGCCCGGAGCCCCGCCGCGCCAGGTATGCCGCCGGCGCTGCGGCTCCGAACTTCTCCAGCTGGCCCCGCGCCCCGCTCCCCCTGGGGTGTGCGGGGGCGGCGCGGTGGGGCGCCCGGGGAGGGGCGGTGCGGGCGGGGTGCGCCGCTGCTCCCCGGCTCCCCTGGAGCCCCCGGCCCCGCTCCAGCCTCACGGCCGGGCCGGGCCGCCGGGCCCCTTCCCGGTTCGCGGCGGCGGGCGACGGGGGAGCCAGAGACGCCCGAGACGTTTTCGGCTCTGGACTGTTTTTAATTAAAAGCCGGAATTCAGCCATTTTAGCTCCAGGGAAGAGGGGAGAAAGTAGGGGGACGGCAGCGGGCCCCGCAGAGGGCCGAGCCCGCGGCTCCGCCCGAGCCAGGGCGCTCCGGGGGCCTCGCCGCGACTCCCCCGAAGCGGGCGCCGGGCTCGCCCCAGGGCGCTGGCTTTCAGGGGAGCGAGCGGCACAAAGAGCGTTTAAAAAAAAAAAAAATCACGGGAAGCTCCTCGCCTCCGGAGACACGTATCCTCCTCGGATGTGGCGGTTTTAGATTTTTCCAAAGTGGACGCGGATCTGGTAACCAGAGCCCGGGAGGCGGGAGGAGGAGGTGGTGGTAACCAGAACCGGGTTAGAATGAGCCAGGTTGTGGGGAAGGTGGGGACGGAGGCCGGGGTCGGGGCCCGAGGGTCTGCAGCGGGGAGGGAGCCGGCGCCCCGACCTCCCGGAACCGGGAACCGGGGCCGCCGCGGGCGGACCGGACCGGCAGCCCAGGCCCCCTCCCGCCCCGCGGGAACCGTCAGCGGACAGATCTTTTAAACAAACAGCCTCAACTGGCACTGCAGGGCTCGCCCAGCGCCGGCAGCCGCCCCTCGGCGGGAGGCGTTCTTTGTGGTTATTTTTGGGGTTCGGGGAGCTTGGGGAAGAGCCAGCCCCGGGGCCCCCCGGCTTCCCCTCGGACACCCCCGGGCCCCCGCGCCAGGCCGCGTCCCGGGCCGCGGGGTCCCCAGGCCCGGGCGTTGGAAAATGAAACCAAAGCCGGTCTGGGAGGACTCTTCCCAGTGCTCGGCCGCGGGAGGGAGGGAATGCCACGTCTCCCCGCGGAGCCGGCTCCGCAGCCGCCGCGCTCCCGCAGGCAGAGCCCCATCCGCGCCCGCTCCGCCGGAGAAGCCCGGAGCCGGGCCGAGCGAGCGGCGGGGGAGAAGCCGTCCGGCGGGACGGCGAGGGCCTCGGAGGTTAAACATTAAGCTCCCGGATCAGATAGCGACCCGGGGGCGACGGCGGGAGCCGCTCTGGGGAGGTTTCCCGGCTTGAAACCGCAGAGCGTGTGAGGCCCGGCAACCGAACCCCTCGGAGGTCTGTGTCCGCGGCCGCGGCGGCGGAGGGGTCTCCCCGCCGCCCGGCAGCGTCCGGCTGGGGCGCAGCGCCGCCGCCGCCGCGGAAGGAGCGTTTCCGCGGTTCATGGCGAGGGGCCCGCTCCCGGGCCCACCTCCGGCCGCCGCCCCGCAGCCCGGCCCGGGGCGGCAGAGCGACTTTCTGAAACTTGCTTTTTGTTCTCTCCCCTTCCCCTTCTCTCCTCTCCCTCTGCCTCTCCGCGGCGGCCCGACTCCTCTCCCCGCCAAGACGCCGAGTGCCCGCCCCGCGCCGCGCCGCCCGGCCGCCGGGAGGGGCCCGACCACCGCCCGCCCGCGCCCCGGGCCGGCCGCCGCCATGCCCGCCGCGGAGCCGCCCGCGGACCCCGGCGCCGCGCCGCGGCCGAGCGTGTAGGCGCCGCTGAGCGCGGCCGGGCCCGCGGAGGATGGATGGCCGAGACTTCGGGCCCCCGCGGTCCGGGCCCGGCGCCCCGCCGCCGCTGCTGTCCGGCCTGGCCATGGACGGCCACCGCGTGGGCGCGGCCGCCGCCGGACGCCTGCCCGCCTCGGGCCTGCCGGGCCCGCTGCCGCCCGGGAAGTTCATGGCCGGCCTCAACCTGCACCCGCACCCCGGTAAGTGCCAAGGGCGCCCCGCTCTGCCCGGAGCCCGGCACCGAGTGTGTGTCCTGTGCTCCGTGGCCACAGGGATGCCCGGTCGGGGGGTGCGGGCGCCCTCATCCCCGGCGGGAGACCCCGGGGCCGGTCCGGAGGAGCTGCGCGGGCCCCGGCCCGGCCCCCCCCGGCCCCGGCCCGGCCTCCCCGGCCCCGGCCCGGCCTCCCCGGCGCTCGCCTTGGCCGGACGGGAGCCGCCAGGGGCGATCCGGCCCGGAGCCCCGGGAGGCTGGGTTCCGGGTCCGGGCGGGAAAAGAACAGACAAGCCCCGTCCTCCGGACACGGTGCCCGGCCGGCCGCCCGGCTCCTCCGCTCCGGGGGCGCCGGGAGGATGGCCCGGCCCGAGCCTCCGGCGGGTGGCGACGGACCTGGGCCCTGTGCCCCCGGAGCGCCCGCCGGAGGCAGCAGCGGCCGGGCCTCTGAGCCCCTTGTCCTCCCGCCGGAGGAGCTGGGCCGCGGCCGCCGGCCGGGAGGAAGCGGCGGGGCGGCCGGAGCGGCGGAGGGGGGCCGGTCCGACATTAGTCCGAGGCGCCGGCCTCGCCGCTTCCCGAGAGGGGCCGCGGGGCCGGCGGCGCGGGAGGGCGGACGTGGCCCGGCCGCTCCGGGCGCAGCGGGAAGGGAGGCTCGGGCTCCGCCCGCGCTGCCCCTGCCTGGGATCGGCCCTCCTGCCGGCCGCCTCCGGCCTCGGTGCCGGCGTCCCCGGGCTCGGCCGGTGGAACCCCCGCCCCCCGCACGGTGTGGCCCGGGCGCGGGGTTTCGGGGGAGCCGGGAGCCCCGCGCTCCTCGGCCCGGGTCCTGGGAGCGGACACCGGCCTGCCCGCCGCCCGCCGCCTGCTCGCCGTGCTCCCGGGAACTTTTCAGGAACGGAGCCGGCCGGGGACAAAGGGCCTTTGTGCGCACCGGGCGGGGGAGGGGCGCTCGGTGGGCCGTGGAGCTCCCCTGGCGGGCGCCCGGCCGGGCTTTGGTGGGGGCACGAGGGCCCCGGGAGTTGGGGGCTGTAGTCCTGGGGGGGGGAGGCAGGCAGGGAGGGAGGGGCGGCTTCTGTGTGCCCTGCGTGTCTTACAGGTCAGGGGGCTCCCTGCCCAGCCTGGCCTGCAGGGTCCTCGCTCTGTTTCCCAAAGTGCGGGAGAGGGTGCTGGGGACCCCGCCGAGCTGCCGGGCGCACAGGCCTAGGGCTCCCCTCCGAAGCTGCGAAACCGGCCCCGCCCCGGTGCCCGGCCCGTTGGGCGGACGGGAGGCTGAGGCCCGGGTCCAGGCGGGAGCAGGGAGCGGCGGAGGGAGGCGGAAGGCCGGGACGGAGGAGGATGGCGGGGAAGCCCAGCGGGAGGCGTAGGGCCGGCCTCCGCCCGCCTCGGGAGCTGGGAGCAGCCCGGCTTCTGCGTTCTCGGCCGCTGAGGTCATGGAGGAAATAGCAGGCGGCGGCCCGCTGCCAGGCCCGAGCCGCCGGAGCCCGCAGCACTGAGTGGCCGCCTCGGACCCGGGGCCAGAGCCCAGTCAGCCTGTGGGAGGCCCATGAGCCGGGCCAGGGAGCGGCTCCCATTCCCTGCTTGGGTGGGGCTGGGTTGCAGACTCTTCCACCAGCCCTGGCCCCCCCTTTTTATGGGGCGCAGGTGCTACGTTTTCTCTCTCAGCGCCCTCAGGTCTGGCCGGCCACCGGCCCAGGCCCGTCGCTGTTTATTTTTGTCCAGGAAACCCCGAGAGGCAGAGCCGGCGGGGGGTCACACAGCGAGGGAGGGGAGGCCCTCCCTTCACTCCCCGGCTTTAGTGCCTGGCTGACCGCCTTCCGAGAGGGGCCCTGGCTGCTGGGGTGCTGGCCCCCCACCCAGGGAGGCGTTGCCAGGAGAGTGGCTGAGCCGGGGTCTTGGGAGGCGCTGCCTTCTGCATCATGGGTGCAGGCTCCTGTCTGGTGCGAGGAGGGGGTGAAATCAGAAGAACGTGGGATTTGGGGTACAGGGCTCCCCTTCCCCTAACCTTGAGTATTGATACCTGTGTGGCCCCCAATGGCCACAGCCCTCAGGGAGACAGAAAAGCCGGGGACAGCCGCTGGGTGGGCCGGTCTGTGCCCTGGGCTGGGAGGCAGTTACAGAGCCATTAGCAGGGTTTTGCACTTGGGTGTTGAGTCTCACTGCCCCCCACGCTGGCTGGGCGCTGGGCGGTGTGGGTTGGGGGTTGGGGTCCCGGGACCAGGCTTTGGGCTGGCCGTGGACAATGGGGGTCAGGGAGCTCCCTCTCTGGAATCCAGCCCCGCAGCCTCCTGGGATTGGTTGGGAAGGTGAATCAGTGTGGGCTGATGGTGGAGTGCTGTGATCCCGGAGATAAGGGAGCTTGGCGGCCTCCTCTGGCGGCGGGGGGGGGGGGGGGGGGGGGGGGGGGGGGGGGGGGGGGGGGAGGCTCTGGAATCTGGGGGAGCCTCTCCTGCAGCACTTTCTCTGCCGGCTGCTCACTCCCTCAGGAACGGTTTCCGGCCTTGGCGTGCCAGGCACTGCGCTGGCCCTGCCAGCCACCGGACAGACGCAGTCCTCCCTCCGTCCCATCCCAGGCCCTCGCGTGGGGCCGGCAGCAAACACACACGGGGGGCGGGGGGCGGGGGAATCCTGTGGAATGGGGTGCAGGCTGTGCAGGCAGAATGCCCAGGGTCTGTTTGGCGGGAGTGGTGAGGGGCTGGGCTGGGGGTTGCAGGGGTGGGGGCTGGGATGGGGAAGGTGGGAGGAGGGTGGAGCCCGCCGGGAGGGCTTGGAATTTGAAGCTGAGCGGCCTGAGAAGGCAGTGGAGGGAGTGACTCCGGTGGAGGGACATTTTACAGAAACTGGTCTGGACTCTGAAAATGTCCGTGGCATGCAAGACAAAGGGTGGCCCAGAGCCGTTCCGGGTACGAGAGACAATCCTGGTTAAGAGACAAAAAGTGCCAGCAGCAGGCGAGGCACGGCCTCAGCTGGGTCTGGGGTCAGGAACAGCGCTCCCAGGCCATCACCAGGGCCGAAGACCAAACTGGAACGTGGACTGTGGATCCGCTGATAGGCCGATCAGTGTCGCGCTGCGGAGCTGATAACGGCCGTGGTTGTGTAAGGCGCTGTCTCAGGAAGGGAGAGCGCCCACGGGCCGCGAGGCCGCTGGCCAGGACCGGCCCAGCAGAGGGGATCCGCCGCGGTCCACGGCGACAGTGACACGCCACGCCATCGGGCCACGTGCAGGGCGGCACGGCTGGCCTCACCGCGGCCGGACCGAGGCAGGTCCCCTGGGAGTGGGTTGTACTGTTTCGAACTTTCCTCTGAGTTTGGATGACTCCCCAGGAGGCAGGGGACAGTGGGTGTGGGTCCCGGCGGCCTGGCAGAGGGAGAGAAGCCGGTGACCAGCCGGGGCAGGAGGCTTTGGAGGTGATGTCACCGGGAGCGAGGCTGCTGGTGGCCAGGCGGCCACGGTTCGGTGCCCCGTGGGGGGTGGGGGGCAGAGGAGGCGCCGCCGTCTGGGTTTCGGGGAAGTGTCCTGTGGCCGATGGGGAGGACCAGGTTTGGGGAGAGGCCGTCGATTGAGAGATCTTGATTTGAACTTGAGCGGCTTGGGATGCTCTGGCTTCTGGCACGGACCTGTGTGTGTGTGTGTGTGTGTGTGTGTGTCCTTTTTTTTTTTCTTTTTAATATATTGATTTTTCACAGAGGAAGGGAGAGGGATAGAGAGAGAGAAACATCGACCAGCTGCCTCCCGCACCCCCCCCCCCCCCCCACCGGGGATGTTCCTGCAACCAAGGTACATGCCCTTGACCGGAATCGAACCTGGGACCCTTCAGTCCACAGGCTGACGCTCTGTCCACTGAGCCAAACCGGTTTCGGCTCAAGTCTTCATTCTTTATTTTCCTCCTCCTTACAGTGTGACAGCCATACTGTAAAATGCTTCCATCTTGAGTGTTTGGCCCCTTGAACTTTTTTAAATATATATATTTTTACGGATTTCAGAGAGGGAGAGAGATGGAAGCATCAGTGGTGAGAGAATCTTTAATCGGCCGCCTCCTGCACGCCCCCTACTGGGGATCCAGCTCACAGCACGGGCATGTGCCCTGACGGGAATTGAACCTGGGACTCGCTTGTCTGCATGCCGACGCTCTATCCACTGAGCCACACCAGCTAGGGCATGGCCCTTTAAATTTTCACACAATGGTCCCGCCCATGTGATCGCCAGCCAGCCCAGGATGGGGACATGTCCAGCATCTGGAGGGCTCCCGACCTCCTCCCCCTCCTGGGGTCTGCTCCGCCCGCCGTATTTCTGGGACCTGAGGTCATTGCCCGTGAGTGAACTTCCTGTGACGGAGCCCTGCCGCCTGCCCTCCGATCCTGCTTTCCCCAGACGCCGCGCTGTGAGGCCGCCCGCCCTGGCGCGGTCGTGTCCCGCTGCTGCTGGCGGGCCACGGCTTGCTGCAGGGTCCCCCGTGAGGACGGCCCCACGCGGTTCCGGGTTCGCTGGGAAGCGCGCCGTGAACGTGGCCTCTCGGCGCACAGGCACCCGTGGCTCCGGATGGGTGTCTTGTCCCGGGGCGGGCCGCTCGGCACAGGTTTGGTGCAGGCTCGGCGTTAGGCTGCGGTGTCCCTGCTGGCACACGGGCGCCTCCGGCAGCTCCCGGCGTCCACGCCTTCCACGCGGGAGGGGTCTGTTCCGCCCAGCCTGGCGGTTTGTAGTCAGGCTCGTTGCTCACTTAAAGTAACATGTTTTTATGGATCTCAGAGAGGAAGGGAGAGGGGGAGAGAGACACTTAGGAGAAAGAATCACTGATCGGCTGCCTCCTGCACGCCCCCCGCTGGGGATCAAGCCAGGAACCCAGGCCTGTGCCCTGACTGGGAATCCAACGGCGACATCCTGGTTCCCAATCACTGAGCCACACCACCACCTCCTGGTTCATAGGTCGCCGTTCAGCCACGGAGCCACACCGCCCAGGCTGTGTGTGCACTCTGAGGCGTTTTCCCGCGTTTGTT